CCCCCAGATTTGGGTTGGGGTCTAGCTTTCTCGGGCACACCAAACCCTGTCACCGTAGCAGCATTTTGGCTTCTTGCTCCGGGGACAGCACAGGCAAGGTAAGACACCACCCTTTTTTGGTCTTAACTAGGGTGTTGAGTGATTATTTGTAGAGTGTTTCATCCCGGACTGGGAAAAGACCTTTCATCACTTTTCTGTTTGCTCGGAAAACCAGCCACATATCGGCGTCTGACTCTGCCTATAGTTCAAAATCGTCATTTTGACTGACCTGAGTCTATGGTGGGCAATTGAATGTAGTGAATTTAGGCGAGGGTTCTCCGAACCCGCCTATTCACATAGTTCATACCCACCATAGACTCTAGGTCCCCACTCTTTCCGTAGCGTTGGTCTAAGTCCTTGATGCGGAGAGAAAGGAACCATCTACAGCCATCTATGGCACTGCCATATGACCTCGGTCATGTGGTTTGTGACGTAAAGGGAAAGAGAATCTTGGGGTCCTCTGAATCTTCCTCTGACCTAGATTCTATCTCTCTGTCACCGGCAGAATCACTGATTAATGCCTACAGTTCAAAATAGTCATTTTGACTGACCAGAGTCTATGGTGGGTATGAACTATGTGAATAGGCGGGTTCGGAGAACCCTCGCCTAATTTTATGATATTCACATATACATTCAGTGTACATTCAGACCATGTCTATGGGTTAAACATACCTAACAATATAAACTGGCTCAAAAGCTTTTATAAAATAAGTGAACAAAATGAAGTAAAAACGTTTGCAGATCAAATATCTAATATGAAATCACTGGAACATTACAGTTGGGTTAAAAGAAATAAGGAAAAAGAAAACTATATAAATGATCCCCTTGATCATCATGGCATATCACTGTATTTTAAAGTCAGATCTAACTCACTGGATTTAGAGAGTAATAAAATAACATGGGACAAATATAAAGGGAATGGAATGTGCAAGCTATGTAATGACGACAAAGAAGATATTTATAATTTTCTATTTTTATGCAAAGCAACTTATCATTTAAGACACAAATTTTATGGAGATTTCATGTACAAAGTTCAAAACCTTGAAGTAGACCCAACACTTATTAATAACTTTCTTTCTGGAGGAATTAATTTTAAGTTTAATGTACTTTTTAGCGACATATTGTGGAAAGTCAACAATAATTTGGGGAATATTGTATCCAAGGAAGTTAGAGTATTTATTACTCAATTGTATAAGTATAGAAAAGAAAGTTTGAATTTAATGTGATTTTTCTTCTTTCCTTTTTCAAATATGTATGATTTGGTTGTTTTCTTCTCTTT